ACAGCAGCCTGTTAAAGCAATCATTACACCCTTTTAGTATTCAGCTTCCCAATTTCTCATGGGTAATGTTTCATGCTTTTGTGTCACCTCATTGGTTTTTATTTTATCTACTGATTTTCATACATTTGTATATAATAATACATGTCTTCCTCCTCATAGCATTTGACTTATAATAACATAATGATACATGGATTCTACACAATCAAGAATAAATCACACATCCTCTCGTCTATTCCTCAAGCAAAGATGTGTGACCTTTTTCTTTGTTCTATTCCTTTCACATAACCTTGTGATTATACTTTTTCTTTTCTTCTCTTTAATTTTCATATCTTTTCCTGCTTTTTTTCCCCCTGCCCTCTCAATCACTCTCCCTTTGTCCCTGCGCCTCTCTGTCATTTGTTCGCCCTCTCTGCCGAGGCTCCCTCTGTCACCATCAATCAACAACCATGGCAACCACTGAATGTAACAAGCTTATCATTATGTGGTTAGGAGGGAAATTGATAGGTGCTGGAAGAAAATGGGAGGGAGAAGATCAATACTGAAAAGGAAAACCAGACAGAGAATAGAAAGGAAGATTTTTTTTAGTCAGGCAGAATGAGCAGCTGAGTGAGTAATGACTAAAAGAGAGTAAAATAGCAAACAGCAAAGTCATTACTCTTACAGGAGCCTTTTTGGAGGCAACACAGCTGAGAAACCAGTGGCTATGACATTAAAAATACGGTGAGATTCCAGGGCAGGAGTCAGCAGTTAGCACACACATGTCTCTTGTATCATGTCCAATTAGGATGAATTGGAAAAAGATTAGTAGATAACGATTTTAAAATCATTACGTACTTTCCTGTCTGGGTTTTGAAGCCGATGCTGAAGTCCTCGTGGACTCATTCAATGACTTGCCCCCATAGAAGCTAATTAATCTGGAGCCCAAAGTTTGAAGATATCTGAAATCATTCTTTGTTTTTGGGCTTTTTTTTTGTAATTACAAAGACATTTGCTTTTCTGCTATGTTTGTTGATTGCAACATTATCTGATTTTGACAACAACAAAAAAACATGTCGACAAACGCCTTTCCCACGTCTGGCCTCGTAATTTTCTCCAGCTTCTGACCTGTCCTCTGGCAAAGTGACAGCATGTGGGGCTTCTGTTGAGCCACTGTTGATTTACAACCAGAACCTAAGACCGTAACTGCACCACATCCCTCTTCAGATGGCTTCTCTTTTTAAGTGCTGTAATGCTTCTCATCTTGCAGAATGTCTTTGCTTCATGGGAGTAATTACCTATCTGACAGAGCCAATGCTAGCAGGACAGGTAATAGCTGGTAATTAACCAGCTGAGTGGCAACCACCAAGCCTTAGTGGATATGTCTCTCCAATTACAACTAATTACTCAGAGGGTGGCGAGAGGGCTGTCTTTATAAAAAAAAAAGAAAAATTTATACCTGTTTTGTCTTTCAGCTGTGAGTCGGTCGCCACCGTTGCTCCTCCCATCATCCCCCTCTCCCTGTCCCTGTCTTTCCCCGTCGCGGATTGACTGTGTCCGTTCTTCTGCCGATTCCTCTGGGTCTCCAAGGCCTTTAGCTTGCGAGCATGCTTGTGACCTTTGTAGTGGGCCTCTGCCTGGGTCTGGCCATCACACACACATACAAATATGCACACAAGAGCAGGACAAGCAGAGGGGAAAGTCAGTGTACATTATATGCACAGAATGGCTGATTCAATTAGTGAAGGACCACATAAAATCAGTAAACTGTGATCTTTCCATCTGTTCCATTGCACTGGCTGCACATGCCTCCATGGAGTTTGGGAAAAATGATGCGCTCGAGCATTTGACTCAGAGGTAGAGTCGCATCACCGCTGTGATAATCGTCATTGTCATGGCGGTGCACAAATGAGCATCAGTTGGACTCATGGCATCTCATGACCATCCTCTGAGCTCACTGGCTCATCTTTCCACTGATTCGTTCTGACACAAAATGGCCCGTGTCCGTTATGCTGCGACACAAAATGACCTCTGTGCCTTCCTCTGTAAGAGAAAACACATTTGTGGCAGTGAGACAACAGATGCATGCAGATCTGGGATCCCAAAATGGCTCTGGATGCCTGTAGAGAAAGCGAGACATCCTCTACAGAGGAAAATCAGCTTCCAGCAACTCAAAGTACACCAACAGTGACACAAAACAACTGAAGCGGATTAGATTTAATTGGCAATCCATTCACACGTTATGTTTGCATACAACATAGTAAACCTACACATTTCATATACACGCCTTAGCTTGAGGAAGCAAAAAAAAAAAAAAAGAGAAGCAATTTGTTGTTTATTTTGTTCTTACAATATGTTTAATAGCCTTAATGTTTACTGTTCATTAAACATTTCTTTATGGAAACTGAGGCATCTCTCAACTCTGTGAGAGGCACTTGAAATACATTATAATGAGCTGTTGCCGGCTAATGCAAAAGCAGTGATTCTTTTCCAGATGTCACAGGTTAAATAGACCTGTCTGCTATTTACGCAGAATAAAGACTTTAAACTGTGCTTAGTAAGTTCAAACAGCTTCAGCAACCTCACTAAACATTCCATGACATCAAGTGTACAGAACAAGCAGAACTCACAAAGGATAAGTTTGGTGGCAGTACAATTTTTTTTCTTATTGTCAAAAAAAAAATCCCTTAAATGAATAAACCAATTAATGAGCTGAAAAAAAAAAAGTACTGTCTGCCTAATATATGTCATTTCTGGTCCACAGAACCTTGATTTAGTTAAAAGAAAATGTAAAGAAAATGTACAAATGAGCCGAATAGTTGCACTGGGTGGCATGTTCTTTCATTAAAATGAACATGGGCGTTCAAAGTTATTTTTAAAACAGTCCTACATGCACTTTGCCGGTGTTATATGCTGAATAAAATTCCAAATGTGTATCAATCCACCACTGAAAATAGTCCCTAATAAATGCTGTTACTAGTGAAAGTGTATGTAATATTTGTGATGCCTCTTTTCTTTTCACGAGATTCATTGACAATAAGAAAACTCTAACAAAACGTGACCATCCTTATCCTTTAAGAGCACATATTTTTACAACATCGGTGCCTTTCTGTACATGAAAGACAGTGCACTCTCTAAATCAACAGACAATCAGTGTGACAAGACTCCAAGTATCTGGCTTCACACAAGGCTGTTAGATAATTTGTCGTTGCTCAAATTATCCATACCAGTTTCCAGGCACACGCTGCACAGCCCCTGCTAATGCACATTCAAACTCGTGGTGTGCACAGACGATCTCTCGGTGCACAGAGTGGTGGAGTCGAAGTCTCCCCGTCAACACTTTGCATAAAGCTTGGACGGCTACACAAACAGAAAGGGCACCACCGTGGGTCAAAGTGTGTGGTTGGGAATACGGGGCCGAGCAAAGGGTACACAAGCCCTTTGGCTACGTTGAATGTCAGTGCACACTAACCATTCAGCGTGATTTTCAACTGAGTCAGAGGGATGACTCGGCTCCTGTCTGCATACTACCGGACTATCTGGCATGCCAGCGTAGTATGAATTCACTGTGTTGCTTCATAGCAGAATCAAACGTGGAATAAGTATCCGAGGACGGCAAAACAAAGATCTTCAGGAGACCGTGAGGGACTGCGCTCGCCTCCGATGCCCTTGATTCAAGCTGCTTTATGCATTGTCACATCATTGATGCTCAAACTCTCCATAAACAACGAGCAACAACTGTTCACAAAAAGGGCAGTAAAAATTAGAATATCATGTGAGATCCGTCAGACTTGAATCTTTCATGCTTTTTTTTTTCAGTGAGTTTAGCAGCCTTAAAGGAATAATTTGGAATTGTTGTGGTCTGTTCTGTTTTTATACACACCGGTCATGTAGCAGCATTACAGGCTTCACTTTCACAGTCATCCATGTTTGTCCGAGTGTTGAACAAACTGCTTCAGCTTTCAACAAATTCACGTTTTCGTTCAGCGTGCTAAAACACTCTACCACTGTACACCAGCGTGATGTTGCAGCAGTACATCACGATGAATTTTAGTCTAATAATTCAGTTTTTGGCCTCCTGGGGGAACAGCAACAACCTGCAGACACTATACACACACATATATCGTAAAATTAGTTAAACTTGGCATTCAACCGGAACTGTATATGACAGAGGTAAGCCTGATAATCCTATTTTGCTCTCCACTAACTCTTAACTTAACTGCTTACTGTGCTACCATGTCCACAAGCTGTTTGCTGACTTTGACCTTTGGTGTCGGACAGGTAGAGCACAGCGGGATTTTAGAGCCTTTTGGCTAAAAACTCGTCTGCTGCTGCCGCTGAAACGACACTAAAACAGTAGAGCAGTGTTCTATGAAACCAAAACAAAGAGCTAAAAGATGCTAAATAGTGTGTGGACGTAGGGGCGCCCCAGTAGCTCAACGGGATCAGACGGCAACCCATGTATAGCAGCTATAGTTCTGGATGCAGCGGCCACAGTTCGAGTTGCTCTTCACTGTCACGTCTGAATAAAGGCAAAAAGCCCATAAAAGAAAAATACTTAAGAAAAAAGGTAAAGTGGGGTTGCAGAGTCGAGTAAAGATGTTGGCTTCCTTATGAAAATTGATGCTTTACATATTACACCGTCATTTTATGAACTGTTAATATAAAAATACTGATTACAGCCGCTTTAATTTTCTTCTCGCATTCATCTATACACTGTATTTTCTTGCCATTTTAAAATATAATTCAGCATTACAGACTGCTGTTAAATTATATTTAGCTCTCACTAAACTGTAAAAGTTTTGTCGCTTTGGATTCGTCTGAACTTTGAATCGCAAGCTGAAGCTTAAAAGAAAACTGTGAAACTTCCACCGACTGTAGCTCATGTGTGTGCTACACAAGCAGCGAGTATAAAATACAACCAGACTTCCACCATTCTGAACTATTCCTTTAATCAGTTTTCTTTGTGGGGTGCAAAATCCAGCTGGTCCGTGCTGCCCCCTGTTGGGACCTGGTACCTGCCTGAAACCTGGCATCCAACTCCTGGGTCAACCAGCACTCTCAGCACAGCTGCAGGTAACACAGAGGGAGGAGGAGGAGAGAGTCTGTTAGCTAGAAAACAGACTCCGGACACCATCACTGCAAGTCCAAAAGTAAAGAGCAAAGACAGAAAATAGAGACAGTGAAGAAGTAAGAGCAGCGGAAAGGCTCTGCACCGGTGTCCTGCTTCTTTCAAGTTTCACAAAAACCAAGAGTCATTGTCATTCTGCCAGGTTCCTCCTAACAATATAAATGCAAATATGTATAAATGAACTCCATAGGAATTGGAGTCAAATGAATATGAATAGGCAGGTGTGATAAGGAGCAAAAGGCGACAGAACGAGCAGACCGGTTTCCTTTAAAGAGCTCAGTGGTCAGAAAATGGAAGGGATAGAAATGATTAGAGCGATAAGAAAAAATGGCCTGCTTCAAGATTGTTTTTGACCATTAGGATGCAAAAATATTAAACTAGATGCAGAAATGTGGACGCGTGGCGGCAATAATCAAAAGATGACCTTTAGATGACTGCTTGCTTTTAAGCACAATCACAAGGTTCAGAGGGCTTTTAAAGCTAGCGAAGCGAGATAAGGTTGACGCTTCTTTCATTTTATTACATTAAAATACATCACAGGCCGACGTGTTTGACTGCAGCTGGTGATTAACGTTCTGCAGGAAAACAGACAGAACCGAGCCGTGCGGTCAAAAAGGTGGCTTATCGCCTTCCCGCAGTGAAATTTAAGATAAATTCCGTCCTTTCTTTAAGCTTTTGTCGTATCTAGTTTTTAAACCAGATGAAAGCTGAAAAAAAAAAAAAAGCCAAAGCGTTTTTTTTTCTCTGTGACATCAGACTCACGGTAGAGTTGAAGCGCAGGTGACAGATGTTGCAGGAGATGATGGGTTTCTTCTTGGGTGGAGCGACGCCAAAGGTGTGGTTGATCACCGCCTTCTGCACCGGGTCCATCTGCAAGGTGAAACACATAAATATACAGATCTCACCCTGACACCATGAAAAAAAAAAAAATCACATATAAACAAACAGGAGGCGTCCATCAAGGTTAGAGAAACTCATCATGGAACCACAAACGTCCATTTCAAGCATGTTATTCTTTCACTCTACTACTACGAGCTCTACTGTCCTTTTTTTCTTGTTATAGTTGCCGTTCGATTGTGTTTTTTTTTTGTCTGTTAACAGTCTAGCGCTTTACAGGAGAGGAGTTTGAACATAAAACTTCAGATATGACCTTGGCATGGTCCCTTCTCAGAGTGATTACATTTTGGGGTCAATACATGCATCGGTGACCGCTACAGAGGTCAAAGGTGACATTTCCCAAAAAAGCTCTGTGTGACTGAAAATGCACAAAAAGGACATAAGTTCAGTTTACTAACTTAAGAAAACACTGGAGGCCTATAAACTGGTGATGTAACATGCGACCTTGAGACAAAAGTCACTGAAGATCTTAAATCATTACAAATTTTAAATCCATTATAACTTGGAAAAGGTGTCAGATAAAGATATAGTTTCTTATCACAATCAGATATATTGGTTGCCATGGTGATGGCGGCGCGCATAGATGCAGCGCCCCCTTCAGGAGACAGCAAAAGTGAACGTTTTGAGTGTCTTGTCTATCCCAGACGTTCATTCTGCAAAGCTTAAAGACGAGACACTTTGCGGAACATCAGGACAGTGAACGGTGCCAAAATTGCGGCGATCGGTTGCGATGTGGACATACAACACCAACACAGAGTCCGATCGCAGACGACGCCAGCAGTTACCCGAGAGAGTAGGAAGCGCAAATGTAAACAAAGGAGGAGGACGAGAGCCGGGATCCATGCTAGGCTAAAAGGCTAACCCCTCCAGACCAGCAGGACCGTCCTCCTGCTCTCTGATGTCCGCTCCCTCCACAACAAGCTGGACGTTTGCTGAGAGAAACCCGCAGAGAGTGGAGAGACTGCTGTGTGTCTGCTTTAACAGAAACATGGCTCCATGACAACATCCCAGACGGACATACAGCTGGAGGGGATGCAGACAGACAGACAGCTAGCTCTGGGCAGCATCTGCAGCTTCACCATCGTTGTGCTTTTGTGTCCCTGAAGACCTACCAGGACCTGAAGAGGTTCACCATGTTCAACGAATGGCGGCATGCATGGACGCAGCGCCCCCTTCAGGAGGCAGCGAGAGTGAACGTTTAGTGTCTTATCTATCTCACACGTGCATTCCACAAAACTTACTAATTAAGAAGAAACGCTCTCTCATCTTGCCTGTACTACTGTGTATGTGCAGCAAAATGACAATAAACCTGATTTGATTTAATAGGAACCCATGTTGTTGATGTGACATTTGACCTTGGACGACAGGTGAAGGTCAAACCAAGGTCATAAATATTAGGTGCTTAGCCGTAGGCCTAAACTACAGCAAAAAGCTTCCCCTCCATGCAACATGACAGACTAAGCTCTTGTTACATTATGGATCATTTTAAGGGAAAATCAAGGCAAGTTCATCCTCAAGTATGCGCACAGGAAAACAGAATCAGGTAAACATGCATACATTGGGCAACTCTGTCCCTCTACTGAGGGCCCTCTAGTTAAATAAAGGAAAAAACTTTAAAACATCATTGTGTTGGATTTTTGACATCCACTTTAAAAAGCCCACTATGGAGTAGTTTCAGCACACTTCACAATTCAGTTATAAAAGGAAAATATCTATTTATAGTTGTATAGATTATAGTGTTGAATCAATTTCCTATATTAGCAATAAACGGACTAATGTTTCAGGAACATTTCTAACATTATTATGGTTTTTTCAATGCCTCCTGTTCACTCATAGCACTTGTTAGGACATGTTTTAACCCAGCCTGCATAACTAAATGATCCTATTAATTAAATACAATGCATGTACAGTACATTTCATCTAACAGTGCATTTCTAATACAATAACCTTTTAGCTCATTTCATTTTCTTTCAGTTAATGAATAGGGCCTGAATCTGCCCAGATACGGAAAATAATTATCCACACGACTACCACCATCTTCCAGGTCAGCGATGAGGCATTCGTCAGTGCTGATTGTTGTAATTTTTTGGATTAAACAAGGCAAGCTTGGAGTCATCCAGTGATTGAATGAATTATTGCACCGTGTGATGTTAAACATGAATTTCTTTGATGAAGGTCAACAAGTGTGACTTTACCATCAATAAGTCCGTTTTTTAAAAATAAATTTGTGTTTAGAATCAATGCAAGCTGTGTATATTTTTCTGAACATGAGACGAGGAAATTACAGTCTTGAATTCACACTTCTTAAATAGCCCTTTTCGATCACTACTTCCGTTCATGCGTTTAATCCCCGCGGTGCAGCTGTGCTATTCAAGCCATATTTTTAACTTTAGATGTCAGACTGGAATATTTTTCCAGCCTCCCACATGCCCAACACATTTAGCACTTTTGTCAGACTTTCCTTATTTGGGGTTAAACACGGTGTAGGTTATGAAAGTCTGTCGCTTCAGTATTTAAAGACCAGACCAAACATATAGTTGTGTGCGTTTGTGAGGTTTCAAACATGTGTTTGCGTCTAAATCAAGCAATTAAAGACATCCTCCAAGTTTGTTATTACGTTAACGTGATGTTTTCTACATATTGGAAGACATATTATAGGTGGAATAAACAGTCAACATCATGGCTCAGCATTGACATCCTTAAACTGCAGCGTACAATTTATACCATTTGCAGGATTTCATATGTAAACTTAAACAACCAATTCAACCCGTCACCTCACAGGTTGGTGCTTTCTGCATCATTATTCTTCTTCAGAACTAGTTTCCGGTTCAAACATGTAGAATTACTCCAGTGTGACAACATGTAGAATAGTTTCATAGCCTTTGAGCAGAGCTGGTGAGCTGGTGTGCTCGAGCTAGAACAAGCAAAGAAGGGTGGAAGGAGAAAGAAAAATTCTAAATATATAATTCAGATACACAGAGATTAGTTTTAGGGGGTTTGAATAATAACAAATGAGGAGATTTTTATATATTTAGTCCCAGTATTAATATATAGTTTCCTATAAAATACAATTCATATTTTAAGTCATAGAAAGTAAGAACTCTAAATTGTGTTAATTATGCTTGATAATAAATGGTTCAGTACGGCAGCTTTAATGTCTTTTATTAGAAAAATAAATGAATAAAGATGCTCTACAAATATTTTAAAGCAATTTTAGTACAAAAACAACAATCAAATCGTTAAAGAACCCCAAAATAAACAGGGACAATGCACACAAGCCTTTAATTTTAATATAAATTTATATTCTTATCTTTTTATATTTTTTGTGTAACATCTGGTTGCGTTACCATACAACTTCCATAATTTCTTCTTGGGAATATTTTTTTTTTTTGTGATTCTTTTGTCTAAATCACTGTAGATGTTTAACTAGTTTGTAAAATGTGTTTTTTCGCTAGTTGCCAAGATTTAAGTGAGAAGATCAATACCTCTCTCAGGTCTGTGGTGAAGCTGGGTTTGCTGAGATTGGCATAAAGAGGGACAAAAACAGCTAGCCTTGTTCTTTCCAAAGATGACGAAAAATGTGCCCATCAACACCTTTACATAAGATATAATGTGTTAACTTAAACATGAGAGGTGTTAGTAGGCGCCTTTTGGCAAGAACATGATAACTGCATTTCCCAAAGTGTGTATAACTCCAAAAATATCTAAAATATTTTCTGCAAGTTGTGGTGAATCACTGTTCACAACAAATACAAAACACTCGGTGCACTACAGGGTATTTAGAGGCTACCTTTGCAGGTGCCTTATGTTATGGCCTCCAGTGCTTTACCCAGTGATGCCCTTAGTTTAAAGCTACAGGTTTGCCTCGAGTGTGGAGGAAACATTTTATTCTCTGTTTGGGGTTGGAATCATTTTCTAAATATCTATTGCAGCCTCACGTGTGACGTGTGTGCATATAAGAAATGTGGCATCTCACCGTGTTGAAATTGGGGAAGAGGCTGAGCGGCGAGGATCCGTTGACCCGCAGCGGCAGGAAATGCTCCAGCTGGGCATGAGTCTGCGGCTGAAGGGGTCGACCCGGCATCGGCAGGGAGCCCAGCAGCGGGTGGACCTGGCTCTGGGACAGCGCACCTGAAGCAGACATGATCGCATTTTAGTCATTTGTGAAAAGACACAAATTTGAGCCTTTTTCATTTTGAGGCCACCAAAGCCGCACATCATTACACTCGCACCAGGATAAACAGAGATTTTAGCACACATATGAGAGCGAGGCCCATTCCCACAGCGAATGATTCACTCAGTAAAGCTTTAATGACTTCTGTAATAGCGGGGGATAAATGATGAGAGGCCTTGTGTGGCCTTTTCCTGCCTTACAAGTCCATAGTTTATCCTGACAAATGTCTCTGGCCTTTAAACACAACACCAGGGTCTGTAATTGTGTGGCTTCTTCCTTCGATTCTGCAAACGGCTCAGTCAACATAATGAGAAAAGAAACGCCAGGAGAGTTTAAGGTGCCTAACGGACTGCGCAGTTTTTTAATGTACATGTTTGTTGCTGCTTACATACATTACTTTATATCTAAAGTGTTTGTTTTGATGAATCCCGCAGCCATTTCGCCGACACATCACACTTTGAAATCTCCTTCCACACGACCTCTCGTCTCACCGCGCTTACCTTTGGTTGGCCGAAATGCTTTCAGACCGCTCGTGCTTTAAAGAGCAGCACAGCGCTGACCTTTGTCAAGACTCAAAGCAGCATTAGCGCGCTCGCATTAAAATGCACAGTCGCTTACATAAGCACGATGATTACAGATTGTTTGTAATGCCGGTATTCCTGAAAGTCCCGCGGTTGCTAAGTGAAAAGGTCATGTGTAAATGTAGAAATACAAGATAAGACTGACATCAAAACTTGGTCACACAGCTGATATTCGACAAGAAGAGGAGACTGTTTGACAGCGAGGAGTTGTTTTGCATCTTAGTGTGGAACTAAAAATGCCTCTTGTTTTTTTTTTTTATTCCATTTGAAAGACTTGCTAGCTGGACTCGGTACGGATCAAAAAATTTGCGGTTAGTGAGGGCGGAGGGGATGTTTGGCCTGAGCAGGATGGAAAATGTCAGGAGGAGCTTGACGAGACGGATGAACGAGGCAGAGGCTGGTGTCAGGAGCGTTCTCCGTCGAAAAAAAAACTCAATGAAATTGACTGATGAAGCCACAAGTATTAACATACCAAATCATGACTGGATGATGAAGAGAGATGACTCACTAATTATGGATTAAGGAAAGATATGTGAGAAAATCACAATGTGCATGATTACCGAAAGATTTACTGCCTCCTGGATTAAATAATCAGTTCAATGAAGATTTATTTTGTTGGATAAATTGTTAAGAAAATGAAGAAGAAATGATGTATATAGCATTGCTTTGCCAAGATATATATTACCGTCGAGTGTATTAGTCATTAAAAGCCGAATAAATTCTCTAAACACTGCAGCGAGTGAATAGAGTCAGTCTCAAAGTTGGAGTCTAATGATGTTTTTTCATATTATTAAAAAGCACAGCAACAAGAAGGCAATTTTCCCCCAATTTTCTGCCTCTTTCACCTTTGGATTTCGGGATTTATCTCTGGGGGGATGTGGCAGGTTTGAAAGTCCTTGAGCATTAGCATGTTTTTACTAATCTGGTCCCATTTTCCAAAGGTTTTGAGCACGGAGACAGAGGAGAGGAATGGAAAGGGAGGGGAGGGGGGAATAAAAGCAGGCTTTTCAGATTCGAAACATGCTCAAATGATTGTAATGAACAGTGCAGCTCGGGGAATACTTAACACAGGCTAAACATTTTGGTTCGAGAGAGATCAAAGATGCTGAATTGTTCCACGTAGGTGCCTTAGTGTTTACTGAAGGCAGCAGCTAATAGATGAGAAGCAGCGGACGCCACAGCATGTCTTGTTTTATCATCGCCTCCGGCAACAAAAGCCTCAGGGCACTTTCTTCTGGCAGTGAATATGGTGAAAGATAAAACCCTGCCAGTATTAGTTTTAAATTTGACTGAGAGTAATCAGATGTTTTATATGGAATAAATGTTGAACCAAAACTTAACAGCAGCTCTCTGTCAGGCAGGTACAGCAGTGCTTTGAGCTGTGGTAAACGTAGTGGGGATGTCACAAGAAGCAGCACTGCAGTACCAAATTGATGTCAAAATTCAGGAAATGTGTCAGCACCATAGAGTACTGTATGTATAAGATAGTTGGTACTTTTTCTTTGGTAGTGTAGCTACCGTACATCAAGTAGGTTTTGGAGATACTGGGCAGGAAAGAAAAGATGTGAAACGGAGGCTGCAAAAAGTCTGCAACGATAAATACACCGAGTTTGTGTGGAGACATTTAGATCAGGGTCAAGTTATAGAGAACTAAAAGCCAGCATTCACGTTGAACAAACGCCGCAAACTTATCTAGCAACATCAAGGACAGTCATTCAGATCTGTACACAGACTTTAAATCTACAACAATCAGCCACAATATTAAAATCATCCATCTATTGTTGGTCCCCGTTGTGCCACCAAACCAGCTCAGAGCATGAAAAAGGGACATCTGGGAACGTCCTGCTGTGTCTGGCTCTGGGATGTTGGCAGCAGAGCCTTTGGGTGCTGCGGGCTACAGGGTGAGAGCTCCGTGAATGGGATGTGCTCCCAATGATGCCTGATTGGACTGAGATCTGGGGAGTTTGGAGGCCATGTCCTCCAGGTCCTTTCTCATGTTTTTGAGCACTTCCTGAGCAGTTTGCTTGGTGTGGAACAATATTTAGGTAAGTTGCAAATGTACAAACCGGTATCCACATAAATACCAGAACCAGAGAACTAAAGAAGTCTCTTGGATGGGAGGTGAAACGTCTTCAAGAACCTAAAGGAGAAGCTCAGTTGCTCCAAAGATTACCATGACCTGGATGACTGAGAATCTACACAGATACCAGGACAAAAGCTTCCCAGCAGAACACTACATTCTAATGAGGTTATCAGTGTCATACAACTTACCTGTCATGGGTTTTCATGTTGTGGCTGATCAGTGAGTATAATCACTGAGTCCTGAAATGCTACTGGTATTGTGTGTGTGAAATGTTTGTTGTAATCCTTCAAACACAACTTTCAACAAAGCAAACATTACCTTGTTCAGATGAACATAGTGGGGGGATGCTGCACGAAATGCTGGTAGGTTGTATGGATGGAATTTTTAATATTATAAAGGACAATTATTTTGAATCAAATTTGGTGTTCAGAATCATGGTACTATATTTCACAATATCCCTAAAAGACAGCATGCTAACATGCTAACAGTAGCAACACAAACGCCGTTCATGTTCACCATGTTAATGAGGCCTGCTGCAGATGTCTTGTAGGAATTTAAGTCATGAACCGAAACCCTAAACAAATTAAAAGTAGTGATGCTGCTACATGGTAAATCATCCAAGAGACTCCAAATCATCCTGACATAGTTTGAACAAAATGTACAGCAATCCATGCAAAACAACATTTCCCTTGTGGTGGCACCTGAGGAATCATCAGGAGATCACCAGAATCATCAGGATTCATCATCTGGACACCAGAAAGGTCAATCCATTCAATAGCTGGTGAGATATTTCAGCTTGGATCAAACTGGTAGACTGGCCAACTGTTACTGCCAAACTATTCTCAGAAAGAGTGAAAAAAAAATGACTGAAAGACAAAAAGTTTACATTCTGGGACACAAAACGATGAACCACTACAAGACCTAATATCGTCAAGGGAAGGTGCTGTTTATCAGAAACCAAATACCTAAGGAGCCAGTCCTGCAAAGGGATCAATCAGTGATGTTTTCAACTCAAACCAGAGAGAAACAGAACTGGACAAAGTGAGGAAGCTGATAGCAAACATAAAGAAATGTATAAACCGTATGACCATAGTTCAGGCTACAGGGAAGAACAAAGAAGCCCAGACTACCAAAAGACAAAGGTGTGAACAAATCTTCACTGTAAATCACTGCTTTAAGAGCATTTTGTACAAAACACGGCGGCATTCTCCTGGGAACAAACCCCACTGCTCTAAGTATTGAAAATCCTAATTAAACTCTCACGTAGACAATAGCTTATTACTTGTGGCCTTGTCTTGTTTAAGCACAGTTTATGTTGTTTGTTCGGAGATTTCCAGCCCCTCCGCTGCACCGTGCATTTATCTGAATTAGAATTTGAAATGAGAGGAGTGATTAGGGCGATTATTACTGTTTATTTGATCCCGCATTTGTAATGTGCAGCCGTGAATCTCCCTGGAAAACACACACAGGGTAAACAAAAAAACAACACACACAAGTACTACGTGTTTACTGAATTGATTTTGCTTTTGTTGAATTCCATTTTCATTCAAATGCTCCACCAGGACCGTTCATGTGTCGCTGATGCCAATAAAGTGCACTGAATTGCATTACACTGAATTGAGAGTGAATGACAGAGTAGCGAGAAATGAGAGAAAACGAACGAGAGGCAGCGAGAGCGAGAGACAAGCACAGGCAGATGAGAGGCAGTCTTTTCTCCCTTCGCTAGGCCGATGTGCTTAATCTGCCTGTCAGTATGACTTTTGGGGACATTGATTCCCTCTCCTACACAAATCTGAAATTGATCTCATTAATCTCCTACGCATATAGTCACGAAACACATCAGGGTGAGACGTTTAATTAACTGCATTTTGCGCTGAACAAACCAGAAACTGCCTTCGTCTGTGAGAGTTTCTGCAACATCTGGCGACAAGAAGAGCGCGCCTTTGACAGGACTGTCCTTTTCATGTCACCCATCTCGTTTGCATCCGAGAAAAGCGTCACAAAAAAAGCTCCGTTCCCAGCAAATTTAACAAGATGAACTAAAGCTGCGGTTATATTAGTTTCATCCAATCATGTTGGGAATGTGTTAACCGGGGGACCTTGATAAGTTTTTATAAATAGTCTCTCATCACTTTAACTTCATGACCTCAAACTCATGAACTCAATTACTGCAGCCAAGACCTAAAATGAAAAAGGTTGAGTTGGGAGGGATTTAGTTGAACCATTTTATATAACCTCACAAGCTGTGGGGGGAAAAAACAGCAATGCTACCACAACATTGGCAAAAAAAAAA